TTTATAAATTTATTTATATATATATATTTTTATTTATATTTATTTATATTTTTTTTTTTTTTTTTTTTTTTTACATAGATGGGATAAAGAACTTTGAATCTTCACTCAAAAAAAAAAAAACTCTTGACGATCATGGAATATATATTTGACTAATTACATAGGACAAAAATAGTTATGCCAAATGACAAACTTGAACATGCTGGGGATACATCCCACACATTCCACTCACATTATGAAAGACTAGCTTTGATTTTTTCCTAACAACAACAACAACAAATTATGTGCCTATAGGGTTTTGTCAATTTTACAGTCTTTTTCTAAAAAAAAATGCATCATTTTATGTAAGTTAATAGCATATCAGCTACCAGCTGCAATATTACTGAGAACAGGGGTATTCATGTTGATGGATGGGGCTTGTGGGAATGTGGCCACAAGAGAACTCTTACTAATTCTCTGTCCTTGCTTGTGTCAATGATTGAGTGTTCAAAGTAACTTGGGAGAATCTTTTCTCCTAGAGTTTTAGGGCAGAAGTGAGAAATAGTGAAGTTTTAAAATTCATCATTTTCTGCAAATCCTAAATGCTTGCCATATATTAGTTTAGCATTTTATTTCATTATGTAGGCTTTGCCTTTTGCACCAGAGCCATTGGTTTATATTGATCACATAGAATTAGCATAATTGATCATGGGGGGAAAATTAGGTGAAAATATTTCACATGAAATATGAAGTAATACTCTGAATTTTATTTACCAAAATCAAGAAGCCATGCTCCTTATGTATTTTTTTTACAATGGAATGTGTGATACATTTAGTCACCTTTACCTTAATTAAAAATAACATCTAACAAAAAATAACCACAGTTGGAACTCCAGACTGGTAGGGAGAGATGCTCTTTCTCAACTATGTTTAAATGGAATTAAGGAACACACTAAGATTTATGAGAAAAAAAAAAATGGATTTCTTTATTAATTAATATTAGAAATCTCTGGTTTAAATGAGTCTGAGCAGTTTTCTTAACCAAATGAGTTCCCAAAATTATTGGCAATGATGAATTTTCCAAAAGAGTGTCCTGTGTATGATTGCTCTCAATTTATTCATTCATGGAATTATTTCTCTCAAGGATCTGAAGGGTAGATGTGTGCATTTTGAAATTGCTTGGGGTATAAATATCCTGGAGTTAGTTTGTATTGTTCACTTCTTTATGAATCAGAGGTTTAAAGGGCTTTCTAAGATTCAAGGTGGGGAAACCAAGTCAGTCCATACCCGACAGGCAAGCGCAACATTGCAGCTTTAGCAGCATACGTGTGGATCTTCAGAACAAGGCTGCGTGGCTTCAGAGACTTCCAAGAAATCGTCTCAGCTGTTAGGAGGCCTGGCTCTATGGGAGGGCTGTCCTTCATTAAGGCTATAGGAAAAGTGAAAATAAAATGAAATTTGGATGTAAATGTACAGTTGACCTTCACCACTATTGTTTTTTGGCCAGTAGCAATATAATAGTAATAACTCAGATATGAGAGATATTCTAAAAAATCTACTTCAAGTAAATAATTATTGGAAGGAACACTTAGTTGGAACCCTGATCCTCCTCCCTATTCTGTCTGCTTCCTCATTTTCATTGCCTCAGGTGAATAAGTACTGAGCGGGAATATTATGAAAAGATGATAGGCAGGTGTTTCATTGCAGTAGATCATCATTTTATTATCTTTATGGCAGTAATTATGATACCTTCCAAGATACAATGGTAATAAAAGGAAATACCTAACATCTGGGGGCAGTAAGGGATTTCTCAAAGATAGTGTCAAAGAAAATCAAAGTAGCCCGTTGTTCGTCTAAATTTGATTGTCAGTGTTTGAGTTTATGTTGAGATTGAAAGTAATTAACAAACTTAGCAAGTTTTCTTCTTAACACGATAAAGAATATGAACTAGTTTTCACCAATGGCTAAAGACAAAATACTTTTTGCCCTATATCCAGAAAACACTCAAGGCTACAATATGACCTGGAATGTTCTAGGACATGGTGACCTAAGATATATTGGTGAGTTAGACATATTATATCAGATCACTGAATTTTGGGAAGTTAATTATACAAATATTAACTGGTCACTTGCTGTTTGCTAGACCCTACTGGAATCACTGGCAACACCCTGGTGGAAAATAAAAGTCCTTGTCCTCAATGTTGGCAAGACAGTCAACAGTAAGCATTCAGTGCATAGCTATTGAACACCTGCAGCCCTAGGTGCTAATGAGTTCAAGATAAATACTTTAACATAACAGGATACAGAATTAAAGAATGATGCTTTTGTGTGTGCAATGTGCTGGCCTTGAAAGGAGTGGGTACAGCCCACCCACAGCAGGAAGGCAGCACACTGGAGTGCTGGGCATTGACTGTGGGAAGATAAAAGGCTCATTTCTGGGCTTATGTCTAATTTCCTCCATCTCTTCATTGAAGTCAGGAGCATGGCCATCAGCTGAAAACGAATGAAGGTAAGAGTATGAGTTGAAAATCTAAAAATAGAGATTTAAAGGGCTGAAATAGTCATCAAGAAATGCTGGCAGAATTTATAGCTCTTGTGGAGATTTGAGCTCCTCAAAGTGAAGCGGGGCTAGCCAGGGTTTTGTTTTTTGTTTCATCTTCTCCAATCATATTCAGTTACTCTGTTACAAGCACAGGATGGGAATTGAGTTAAGTTTAACCAATATTGGGATTATTATCAGGAAATCAAGACGAGAGAGGGTAAGAACAAGTGTGCTTGGGGTATGGGCAAAGCTATCATTATAGTGGGGGCCATAAAATTCATGTTGGAGGTGAGAGAGAAAAGGACACAAGGAGATTGATGGACAGAGAAGTGGTAGAGTACATGAATAGAAACCCTGGAAGGTCAAAAACTGTAGAGCTGGGAGTTCTAGAGAATGAATTTGAGAGTCAGGGGGCAGTGGTCATAGAGTGGATGCTTGAAAGGAACACAATTAAGATGACACACCACTGGTAAAGATAGTCTACAGTCTAATCATGAGTGTAAGAGGTTGTATTGGTCTATTTGATGCTGCTATAATAAAATATTCAAGGCTGGGTACTTTATAAAGTAAAGAGGATTATTTATCTCACAGTCTGTAGGCCTAAGAGCATGATACTGGATAGAGAAAGAATATGGAACCTGGCCATGTGCAGAAGGGTTCAGGTAGGGGGTTGGGGTGACAGGTGGACTCCATTCATAACAGCCCACTTTCATAAAAACTAATTCATTCCATGGGACTAATCCTTTCTGAGGGCAGCATCCCCAGAGACCTAGTCACTTCCCAATAGGCCCCACCTCTTAAAGGTTCCTCTACCCCAAATCACCACATTGGGGACCACACCTCTAGCATATGGACCTTTGGGGGATGGATGAACCACATGTGAACCATAGCAAAAGCCAACATGGAATGGAGGAAAGGATCCTTCAAATTTTCAGATAAAAGAAGAAAGGGTTCATAATTTTAATAGATGTTGAAAAAATAAAAAATAATGACAAGTAAAACAGGATGTGAACAGACAACTGTGACCAGGAGAGGAGCACATGGCAGGAGTGAGCAGTCCTCTGTGTCATGCAGAGAAAGCATCAGAGGAGGTGGCCTAGGTATTCCTGAATGACTTTTGAGAAATTCTAGGAAGAAAGGAAGCTCCTTCATCTATGCCTAAAAATATGATCAAGTGTTCTCTGACCAACTGCATGTGATCTGCACATTTGCACAATTGCTTCCCCAGAGCCCTCTTACCTCCAGATTCCCCCCAGCGTACCAGTGCAGAAAAGCAAACCAGTAGCTCAATAGGTTTTAGACTATCCACAAACAGATAATAGGATACACGTTCATCTGAGAACTGCAAGAAATCAGATGTCAATCATTGTACTTATTACCAATCCATTCATGCTATTATTTTCTACTTCTAATGATGATATATAGTATAATGTCTGCTGTTTGAAAGAAAGTTACTGCATTCTAAACATCATACTACTTTATGGGTTTAATAGTATGAAAAAATCCTACTGGGTAAATGCTGGAGATAGTCTGTAGTGGTTGGGTCTATAGGGACTCAGGGAGACAGTCCACCATATGAAAGAGAAGCAAAACTTTTTACTGGGGTAAAGAAAAAGGATCTTCTTATTCCAGAAATGCAAGGGCAAGGAGCTGAGAGCTCAGAGAATGAGTTGCTGATAGGTGGTGAGACCACAGAGTAACTTGACAGAAAATGGAAATGTCTAATGGGGATGTGTATAGGTAGTGTGCAGGGACATATGTGATTAAAATAAACAAAACCCCTCTTTTCCTTCTTTTCACAAAATATTCAGAAATGTACCCATTGCTTGCTAATGCCACCGACTGGGTTTTTAGTTTGGACATGCAATACAGTACTGAGTAAAACCAGAAGGTCCCTGGAAATGATGACATAAAAGCTACTTATGATCTCAGTGCCTATATGGCACTATATCCCTAATTATGGACAAAGATCCTAATCTTCCTTTCAGAGCAGGTAACCAGCTACAGAACACTTTTCAAAGAATGCTCAAAATGTTTTCCTCTGCCTGCTTACATTTTTTTTAATCTATTATGAGCAATTTGAAGTTCTTCTTATTTCCACTGCCTCTGCATACTGCTAATGGACTTGTGGGATTATCATCAGAAGCTGTATGGTTCTTGTATCAGTACAATTTAGTCCCTGAGGATACATTTCATAGTATCCTCCAAATTCCACTCAAAGTAGTGTTTGTTAATCAACTTATTAAACAATGCCTTAATTAGTTTTTATATAATTCCATGAAAGTCTTGCAGTAGCAAACAAAAACAGTCTTTCTAAAGTTGCTAACATCAAGTGAGGGGCAGGAAGGGTGCAGGGAAGGAACCAGGCAGCTGGGATGGTCAGAAGGTCACACCTGGGTAAGCACAGAGCTGACCGAAAGCATGAGGTCCTGCTACTGGACCTGATGTCATAGCCAGGGAAAGTCAAGGACACCTTTTCTGCTCTATAGGACTTCTAGACATTAGCTGGATGAAGAAAAGAAGGATGAAAGCAAAAAAATGCTAGAAAGTAAAGAACATGGGAAAATATCCCACCAAACCAGACATGGTAGGGACAATGTGCTTGTGGTTGAGCAATTACATACTCTTCACTAAATACCAATTAAAACCAAATATAAATTTATGCATCTCTTTCATTTATTCCCAAATCATTTTTTTCCTTATGTGAATTTGTATCATAATACATACCCAGATTTAACCACTACAACATGGCCACATGTGGATCACATTTAGGGACTTGAGCTTGTGGAGTCTTATTGTTTTGATAAGGGCTGAAAAGTTTAAAGATACTTGAGAAACTTGAATGTGTTTTTGCTAGTGAGATTCAACTAAAAACTTAGGGGTATAAAGTTAAAGGTAAGAGATGATATATTTACCTTAAATTCTGACTTTTGAAAGTTAATGCAATAAGAACTTGGCTTGTGAAATACATATATATTCCTGAAGAAAAATATTTAAAACAGGTTATTTTCATCACATGAAAAGACATGTACCAGATGTTCAGGTTCTTAGACTCAAAATCAAATAATCAGAGATAGAACGTTTAAAAATTATAGAAAGAAATATTGAATCAGTTTCCCTAAATGGACAAAAATGATTCAGTGAAAAATTTATGTGTCTCTTAACAAACAAATCTTGAGGAGAAACTGAAACTTATCTAGGATGGGTTTTGTTATTAATGTACTGTGTGGATAGTCAAAACATCCATTTTTTCCTTTCAAAACTGTTCTTTGATAGGCCAACACCCAGCTAAATATGGCTTAACTCTTTAATGATAGCTAAGAATTAATAAACAATATAACTATTACATTAAGTACAAAAATAAATCCTAATGTATATTGGTATAATAATGCAGCTAAGGATTTATCCAACACAGTAGGGTCTGATGATTCCCATCTGAATACTTACTGAAAGCAAACACAGAAGTCTTCAAAATCTAACCATATTTCTTTAGAAACACCATTATTTATTGTTACAAGTTCTTCCTGTGATTTTTCCTGTATTTCTGTTATCTGGCTGACGGCATCCTTTTCCGTACCATCAATTTGATGGATGTCATTCAATCCAAGGTCTATTTGTTCATCTGTCCATTTTTCTTTGGGGAGGGGCAACATTTAATGAGATAATCATTTACATACAGACCTCAAGTTTATGGAGACATATCTCATACATGTAGGTGAATTTGAACCTAAATTCTATGCAGACTAGCATGTTCAGAAGTTTGAATCATTGATAAATTTGTGAACACATTCTTCAAAAATTGTGATGTTACAGCATCAGTTAGCTTATGTACTTAAAATATATTCACATAAGTAAGGAAGGCTCAGAAAACAGAAAGGAAAGTGAAAACTTGACAGATCTGTTGCCCCAAATGCATTTTAGTAAGCCATTTAAGAGTTCCCAGTGGCCCAGGATTTTGTGTCTCCTTGGGTATTGGTAAAGCATTGTCAAACAGCTCCTGTAGAATTCTTAAACCAACATTGTGTGTATCTACATGCCACATGACATCTTTCTGGATCTGCATCCTATTTGAGTCTTGCTTCAGCAGCTGAAGATGACACATGATGTCAGCACTTTGACCATGCTATGCACACATAGGAAGGCATGGGCTCTACGTGTCGATCCTCCTCAGATCCTTTTCATTTTTAATTTGAATTTAACATTAAATTAAACAAAAATATATCTCACTTTTCCTAGCCCAAAGCAGATTAGACTCAAAAAATCAGGGGAGATGCAGAAGCGCTGTGGAGGAGAGACCCCTGTGTGCTACAGTGTTTACTGGGGGAAAAAAAAAGCCATGAAAGATTAACTCACCTTTTCCAAGTCCAACTTGTGATAAAGTATTACCCTGTGAAATGAAAGGAACATATTAAGAAATGATTTTTAGTGCAACAAAACACTACAGCTATGCGAAGCATCAAAGCTCTTAAATTTTTTTAACATTTCTAGAAAACTGAACTAAAACCTATAGTTGATTTTTAATCTTAAAATTCAAAAGGTGTGAATGCAATTAAATCATCAGCTGAAGATTTAAGCTTCTGATATTAAACAGAATATATGAATTTATAAAATGATAAAAACTTATATAATAAGAGTTAAAACAATAATATCACTTGTCATGAGGTAACTTCCATAAATACAGAGAAACTGAGAGTATGAGTGTCAATTAGTGTATAGAACCCAGAAAGGCTGGTCTCACTTACAAAAATGGTTCCTGAATATTTTAATAGAGAAATCATTTTGAATTCATATGTACAACTCTGTTTTATTTGGAACACAACTAAAATAAATGTAGAAAAATGAAATGATGTAAATTTTTCTAGACTGACTATGGGTGGTATATAATAGTTTGGATGATATAAAGTGAATGGAAGAAATACAAGAGTAGAAATAACAAAATACTGAGTGCTAGTTTGAAGCACTTCTGTCTTTAGGACCCCAGAAACAATTAGCAGGTATTTGAAGAGGAGAGAATGAGAAATGAGCTAGAAACATGGAAATGGATTGATTTGACTGTATAAGGAGCTCCTCTTCTCTCTAATCCCTTCTGCCTAAACCAGACACTGGAAAGTTCCTCACGGAGAAATGAGAAATCTCTAGGTCTGAATTCACAGAAGTGTGGAAAGCAGGAGAGCTTAGTGTACAGAAACCAGAAGGTTTAAATGAAAGTTCACAAGCTGAGTGTTGAGACTTTTAAGTTCCTCTGTGCTGCTTAGCCTTGGGCTTTAACATGGATGGATATATCCCTGTGGTTCCCCTCAGATGGAGATCAGGGGACTCCATCAGATGGAGATCAGGAAACTGATCCAGCAGCAGAGACAAACATGGGGATTTTGACATTTGGAGCCAGCCTCTCCTCCAAATCAATCTCGCTCATCTCTAATTCTCCTAGGTTAAAACCACCAGTTGACAAGTTGAGCTGTGCCACATGCTGCTTCCAATCAGAAGATCCTAGCACCTTAAATTCCTTATGTATTCATGTGCAGTAAGTATCCTGAGTTGAGTCAAGGTTCTTATACAAAAAAAAAAAAAAATCATGAGTATGGGTGAGGAGATTGATAAAAACCAGAAACAGTCCATAGGGAGTATCATAATACGCTAGGGAGGTTTACAGTTTTGCTCCTCTAAATACTTTCCTTTGGAAAACAAGCCCTGGAGGATTCTTCTCAGTTTAGCATGCTTAGTTCTAGAGGACGAGTACATACACTAAGAGTAACTACAGGGAATGGAAAGCTTAAAAAGTGGATCCTGAGAAGATGACACTCAAGCCATTTTAACAAATATATTTCTTTTAAACATCAAGGTCTACCTTGGAACAAACACTTCAGTGACCAAAGATCTAATCTGGTCTACTGAGGGATACACTTTGCTAAAGAAGTAACTCAATAAGGCTTGTAAATGGAAATGTAGTCCCCAAGACACATTCTGTTTAAGGGGCAATAAATACAGATGAGTCAAGAACACAACAACAATAGGGGGCATTTAAAAAATAATGATATCAGAGATATCATAAAGAGAAGAGGATATTCATCTATCAAATAAGGAACTTTTACAGAAAGTAATAAAAAATAAAGAAGACTTCGTCAAAATTGAAAATAGGATAGTGAAGCAAATTCAATAGAAAGGTTATATCTAACAGGTTATATATGTAAAGGTTATATCTAAAGTGAATACAAAAGACGAAGAGACAAACTGTAAAACTTTGAGAAAAATCCAGAGGGAAACCCCCGGATCTTGGTGACCCTGAAGTAGAGGCAGCAATAGCAAAAATGAATGTCAAAACAAAAACAAACAAAACAAAATGTACATCAAAGGATGCAATCCACATAGTAAAAACGTAACCTACAGAGTGAGAAAAAGTACTCGCAAATCATATATATGATAAGTATCACAAAAAGAACTTAAGAAATTTTCCAAAGAATAACAGCAACAATGAAACCCCCCAAACAACCTTATCAAAAAATAGATAAAGGTGCTAGGCGCATGCCTGTAATCCCAGGGATTCAGGGGCGGAGGCAGGAAGATTGCAAGCTTGAGGCCAGCAATTTAACAAAAGCCTGTCTCAAAATAAAAAAACAGAAAAGAGCTGGAGATGTAGCTCAGTTGTGAAGGTCCCCTGGGTTCAATCTCTTGTGCTCCCCCACAAAAAATAGGCAAAGGACTTGAATACTCGTTTCTCCAAAGAAGATATACAAATGGCAAATAGCCCATGAAAAGATTTTCAAACTCATTACTCATCAGGGAAATGCAGATTAAAACCAAAATGAAACATCAACTCACCCCAAGGAGGATGGCTACTATGGAAAACAAAACAAAATAAAATAAAACCCACAGGAAATAACAAGAGTCGCCAAAAATGGAGAAACTGGAACACTTGGGACCCGCTGAAAGAACTGAAAGCAGAGTCTCAAAGAAAGGTGTATGTGACCATGTTATGGAGGCCTGGTCCATGACAGCCCAAAGGTGGAAGCCCCCCAAAAGTCTCTTGAGGGATGAATGCATATTTCGAATGTGGTGTATGAGTAATGGTTAATTTGAATTGTCAACTTGATTGGATTAAGAGATGCCCATGATTAAGAGAATTATGGATGTGTGGATGAGAGTGTGTCTAGGAATGATTGGCATGTGGGACAGCCAACTGAAATGGAGACCCTCCCTAAGTGTGGGCAGCACAGCCCAATAGGATGATGGCTTGGATGGAATAAAAGTTGGGAGAACAAGGAGGAAGCACCAAATTCAAGCTTGATTCTTCTTGAACTGGTTCTTGATTGCTGCTGCAACTGTCTGAGGATATCCGATTATCACTTCTTCACTCTTCCAAAGAGGACTCTGACAGTGATTCACCAGAAGTCTTTGGTCTCAGACTAGGGTATCACCATTGATCCCTATGGTTCTGAGGTTTCAGCCTCTTGGGCTACTGGTTCTTTCAGCTCTCCATCTGAAGACAGCCATTGAGGACTATCCAGCCTTTGGTCACGTAAACCAACCTAATAAGTCCCCTTTTTATAATTATACTTCCTGTTGATTCTGTTCCTCAAGAGAACCCTGACTAATACAGTATGCATATAATGGAATATTATTCAGCCTTTCAAGGAAAATAAACTCCTAACACCAATCACGAATATGACATGATATTAGAGGAAATAAGCCAGTCACAAAAATGCAAATATTTTATGATTCCCCCTTTATGTGGTACATAAAGCAGGAAAGTGAATAGAGATAGAAAGCAGAGTAGCAGTTTTCAAGGATCTGGGAGAAGATAAAAGGAGGTTGTTGCTTAGAGAGAAAGTTTAAGCCTTTAAAAATGAAAAGAGTTTTGCATATTGGTTATACAGCAATGTGAATATCTTCAATGCTACTGAAGTGTACATTTGAAAAAGTTAAGATGACAAATGTTATGGGTATTTTAGCACAACTAAACATTTTTATTATGAATCTAAAGTAAAGGCAAATAGATGAAAAAGAAAGGGGAAAAATTCAAGCACATTAGTGAGTAAATTGAGAGGTGGTGAGAATAGTAGAAAATCAAGAAAGCACAGAAAATAAGAAGGAATTCTCAAGGAAATAATGTAAGAAAATTCTTCAGAACTGAAAAATCATAACTTCCTAAGGACCTCACAGAACACCCAAAAGAGATTCATGCCAAAAGAGATCCAGACCCAGGACAATCATTGTGAAATTATACTGTGCCAAGAAAGAAAAGATGATCCTGAAACTTTTCTAGAGTGGCGCAGCAAGTGGCACACACATTAAGAATCAGAATGTCACCTGTATTGTCAAGAGCAATGAGTAAAAGTAGAAGACAGGTACTAACACAACCTTCAGAATTATGAAGAAAATGACATCCAAACTGGAATTTCATATCCTGCCCAAATATCAACCAGGTGGGAAGGTAGAATATAGGTACCTTCAAGCATACAAGTGCTCATAATATTACTTCTCTTACTTCTTATTGTAGGAGGTATTGGAAGATGTACTGCACCAAAATTAGGGTACAAACTAAAAAAGAAGACATGGTCTTCCCAAATAAACCCATCAGAGGGAGACAGAAGGAAGTTTCAAGAGGACAGTTGTCAGTCATTAGTTTTGTATGAAAAGAAGAGATCAGAGGAATCCAGGAGATGATGTGTCCAAGATAAAAACTGACATTTATACAATAGCAGATGTGTTTTGTGGATTATAGTGATTAGAGGAATTTTATATTTTTTAGAGCATGGGAATAAGCTTAAGGGGTTTAATGTGCCACACAGTGACTGTGTAGTTAATAATAATGTATCAGATTATTAAGCATTGCTAAGAGAGTAGAATTTAAGTGTTCCCACAGCAAAACATATGTTAAGTATGTTGGTTACCTCAATTCAGCCATTCAGTAATATATACATATTTCAAAATATCATGTTGTACATGATAAATGTGCTATTTTGTCAATTAGAAATAGATTAAAAAGAAAAAGACAAAAAAAGAGTGAAAAGATTAGACAAAAACTTGGATAAAACATACCACAACACATATAATTTGTAAAGGGTAACTGTTTCTATTGCACCAAGAGCATTTATGAATTGGTAAAGAAAAACACCAAATCAACAAAATCATGGTATTTGCAGGTAAATGGGTGGCATTGAAGAAGATAATTCTAAGTGAAGTTAGCCAATCCCAAAAAAACAAATGCTGAATGTTTTCTCTGATACTGGGGTAGGGAGGGAGAGCATGGGAGGATTAGATGAATTCTAGATAGGGAAGAGGGGTGGGAGGGAAAAGGAGGGGCCAGGGGATTAGCAAGGGCAGTGGAATGTGGTAGACATCATTCTACAAAGCACATGTATGAAGACTTGAGTTGGGTGTCAACATACTTTATATACAAACAAAGATATGAAAAATCATGGTAAATATGTGTATTAAGAATTGTAATGCAAAAAACCCCACAAAGTACATGTATAAAAGCATGAATTGGTGTGAACATACTTTATATACAGAGATATGAAAAATTGTGCTTTTTATGTGTAATAAGAATTCTAATGCATTCCACTGCTGTCCTGTATTTAAAAAAAATCAATAGAATATATATATATATATATATATATAAAGAAAATTTCGAATCAAGAGAAAAGACAAAGTAGGGTAAAGACAAAAGCAAGTACTTCACAGAATCACACACAGAAATGGCAGTCAACATTCAGGAAGATGTCAGCCACATTATCAGTTAAGTAGAAATTTAAAAGAAAATGATCTACTTTTCCTTGCCAATCTTCTTAACAAAAATTGAAAATAGAATTTGCCATCCTCTCTGTGAGGCTGTAAGAAAATATTCATGCATGCTGGCTGTGAATGCAGAATAATACCAAGCCGAGGGAGGATATTGACAATAACCATAATAAAATCTTATGAAATCTTATTTATTGATCAAACCATGTACTTCATCCATAGGAGCATTATTATGGTAAGAAAAGATAGGAAAGGACCAAACAGTGCATTTATAGAGGTTGGTAGAATAAAAACTATGGTTCATTCGCACAAGAAATACAGACATTTCTCAGGTATAGATTAAAATTATCATATTTAATTTTTAAAAAAATTTGGATAAAGAGAAGTTGTGGAATATTGTGTTCGTATGTGTGCATTTCTTTCCTTTCCTTTCCCTTTTTTTTTATCATGAAACTGGGATAGAAGCCCGGGTGATTTACTACCAAGCTATATTCTCAGTTTTGTTTTGTTTTTTCTTTTTTTTTTTTTTTTGATACAGAGTCATGCTATGTGTACAAGGCTGTCTTTGAACTTGCAATCTTCCTGCCTCAGCCTCCCAAGTAGCTGGGATTACAAACGTGCACCACTGCACCTAGTTAATTTCTTTGCATTTACATAAAGAAATTCTAAAAGTTTCCTATGGAAGATTTAAGATGGAGAGATACATAGATAGAAGCAATGAATGCACTATTTTTATTTTGGAAAATGTGAATATATTACCTATTTTATACATAAAACACCCCTTTACACCAAGTAGATTGACAAATATCATACAGTACTGAATGATGGCCAGTAAGCAGAACAAAGAAAACTCTCATTTAGTGCTGATAGAAGCGGTATTTCTACACTCATACTGGAAAATTCCTTGGCATTTCATTATAAGATTAAGCAAGTGAATGTTCCATGATCAATTGATTATATTCCAGATTCGTCATAGTTTAGATCTGGAATGACTCCCAAAGGCTCATGTGTTAAAGGCTTGGTCCCCCAATGCAGCAGAAATCAGAGGTAGGAATATTGGGAAGTAACTGGATCATGTGGGCTCTGATCTCCTCCATAGATAAATCCACTGATGAGTTCATAATTGAATGAACTATGGGAGGTGGTGGAAACTGCAGGAGGTGGGGCCTATTTGGAGGAAGTAGGCCACTTGGGTGTGTTCTGGAAATACATATACACCCACGGCAAAATTAGAAAAGTATAGATTTGATTAATACCAGTGTCTGAATGACAGATAGGAAATGCCCCAGAGGAGACACACAGGGACTGATCAATATTCCATTTTCTCACCTAAGTCAGCGATAAATAAGAAATTTATTTTAATAGTATTTTTTATGCAGTTTAATGCCTAATACACATTCTTTATATGCATACTATGTTTCACAATTAATAAAAATATATCATACATGCTGGCTGTGAATGTAACTAAAGGTTAGGCCAAATACCTGGGAAATCATTCCTGTTATTTGATTCAATTCTGGCTGGCTGAGGCTTATACTTTCATCATTTTCCATGAGAGAAGGTAAACCAGATCCTGGAGTTACCCCTTTCTTAATAACAGATTGTACATAATGCCTAATGGGGAAAAACACAAAACTTCCATAACTTTAATCTCAAGATTTAAGTGACTATGGTTTTTCAACAAGAGAAAGTTTGGATATTCTTCATTTTATTGTTCTCCCATTTTTTACAACCTGGAATTTTTTAAAGCTTCATGTTAAACCATGACCTTTCTTCAATACTACTGAAGAAATATTCAAAATCAGTCAATGTATCAGTATATAAGTTCTCTAAAACACTATTTATATTAAAGTTATGGTAACCATCTGGATGTTGATGATCAAAACAGAAATCAGATATTTAGAATTGCTCTAATTAATTATGAGGGTAATGTTCATGAAACAGGGCCCAGAGGCATAAGTTTAATTACAAATGCTGAGCACTAAAGTTCATAACTGTGATATTTATGGTATCTATACAAGTATTTTTAGGAATTCCTTTTGAATAATTGATATTTCCCCAAATCACTATTGCCAGAGCTAGAATTTTACAGGCACAGTAAAAACACATGTGTCATATTATATATATTTAGACATGTTCAAAAAATAATTAACTTTGACATGTATAGAAGTTATAAACTATAAATTATATTCCCAGCATGTCTGGCAAAACTAAATAACTACAAGCTCAAGTTTCACTTGTTGACTTGTTACCTGGAACTAAACTTCTCTGATTTACACAGATGGGCCACTAGAGTGCAGCACAAGCATATTTAAAAGACTCCCATTTTTCCATAGGCCAGAATGGGCAAACCTGGCCTGTTGCTACAGACACAGCCTTCCAAGGAAAGCAAGTTGTTACAGGGGCCACTTTGAAGGGCTTCCCAAGAAAGGGCTTGCTCTTATGTTGTTCTGGGATCTCTGACTGTACCACAAGGCAGGACTAAGGACACTGCCTTTCATATAGGATGTGATGCTGTTCACATTTTTGCACTGGAGTCTGCCAGATAGCAAGGACATGCAGATGAATTCATCAGAGATCCAAGCAGGGAGTAGATGAGTTGAATCCAATCAAGCCACGAAGTCACCTGTTTCAGGTATTAGAATTTCCATCCACCTTAATCACATAATAAAGCTGAATGAAAGTAAAAGAAAATCAGGTAAGGGGATTGGGTTAGGAAATCAACTCATTTATGGTTCCCGAGGGCCCAGAGAGTCTTCAAAGCTGGGTATAATATGAATTGTGAGAAAAAAATTTTCCTGCTGGGCTGCAGCTGCAGTTCTGATAGCCAGCTAGTCTCTGATTAGCACTCACACCCAGTCAGATGAAAGATAACCCAAAATTTACTCGGACGACAAAATCATACTCTTAGTAGAGGGGAGAGCTAATTTCAGGTGTTAACTTGACTGGATTAAGGAACGCCTCGCTAACTGGTTACTCATGGTGTGTCTGTGAGGGTGTTTTGGAGGAGACTGGCAGGTGCATCAGTGGGCTGAATGGGAATGATCAGCCTTCAGTGTGGGTTGCACCACCCATCAGCTGTGGGCCTTGATAGAACAGAACAGCATAGAAAAGGAAATTCATTCCTTACCTCCTGGAACTGGGACACCCTCTTTTCACATCCTTGGAGATCAGATCTCCATGTTCTCTGGCCTTTGGGCTCCAGGACTTGCACCAGCAGTTCCTCAGCCTCTGACCTCAGATGCAGTGTTACAACACTGGCTTCCAGCTCTGAGGCCTTTGGACTTGGATAGCCACACTGTGGCCTCCCTGGTTCTCTAGCTTACAGATAACCTGGGGGACTTCTCAGTTTCCACAGATGTGTGATCCTACTCCCCCAACAAATCCCCTCACACCTATCTATCACCTATCTGTCATCTATTTACCCATCCCATTGATTCTGTCTCTCAGGAGAATCCTGAAAATACAGTGAGTAAATTTTAATTAACTTTTAATAAAATTAATTAGAAAAATTGTGAAGCATAAACATTTTTTTATATTGTTTAAAAAAATCCACGTGTATGCTAGAGATTGATGGTTTGCATCTCCTCAAATTCAAATGTTAAAGCCTAATTTCCAGTAATGGTATTTTGAGGTGGAGATTTGGGAGGCCATCAGGTTATAAGAGTGGAGTCTTCATGAGTTGATTAGTGGCCTTTCAAAAAAAGACCATAGAAAGGTATATTTTGGCCCTTCCACAACATGAGATTGCAGAGAAAAAAATGTCATCCATGATACAGGAAACACCACACTAGACACCAGCTCTACTGGCACCTAATCTTGGACTTCCAGCCTCCAGAACTGTGAGAAATAAATTTCTGTTGCTCATAAGTTACCCATTCTAAGATATTTGTGTTATAGCAGCAGAAACAAACTAAGACACTGTATGTGGTATTTTGTAATAAATAAATGTATTTAGCATGGTACATAATCTAATAAGTTAGGCTTTTAAATGTATGGCTTAGTATTTAATTTTACCTATATGATTAAGTTAAAAGTCAAATGAAAATTTTGGTTTATAAACATTAATGATCTATAGGAAAAATTAAGTGTCTATGAATACTTCAGTTTGGTTATATGACTTTTTTGTGATGATTTAAATACTTGCCAAGATTTTTTTTTCCTACAAGTTTTGGGTTTTAAAGTCCTCAAAAAGAAAATTATATATACATATATACGTGTGTGTGTGTGTGTACACAAACATATATATGTAAGTTTTAAATAAAATTTAAAATGTTTAAATAAATTTAATGTATTTAAAATGTTCATAGAAATTGATTTACTTATAACAAAAGTTTGAGTAAAACTAGATTTACAAATTTGTAATAGTAACAAATTTTTAAAACCAATGAAGAAATTTTTTTTTCTGTTTATTAACCTCTCCCTCATGGCTTCTCACTACTAACTGCTAATATTTGTCTACCCATACTGTGTAGGAGTCCCTACCCATGCACCTTAGCATTCAATCATAAATTCATAAAACTAATAGAACCTTGAAGGTAAAAGTTGTAATGAGCATTTCCAGTATTCTGAAATTTATAAATAGAAGCTATAGAAATGTAAATTAACTGGGTATGATGCAAAGTGTCCCTAAAAGTAGTCTGTTAGTATAACTAACAGACTCTTTTCCCTTCTCAATTTATAATCCCATCAGGGATTATAGTATAGCCAAGAAAAGGCTAATGCTCCATCTGATGGCATTAGATGTGTGTCCATTATATCTTAAGATATCAGCTGGCCAACCATTTTTATTAAAGAGTGGAAAATACATTTTTTTTTAAAGTGCCCACATAATATATACTTGCTGAAAAACTTCAACATTGTCACGGTTGTATCATCACCATTCAAAGGAAGGGATTGAGTGTCAGCAGCACCCCAAAAGCTCTCCTAGAGTACCTTCCAGGTAGGGTGAATATTCCATACCACAACTGCCACCACAACTTCTAAAACTTGTATCATTCTGGAAATTTTTCTTTTCTTAATGCATATTAAAAGAATAATTGCAAACAAACCATATAGTTTTACACCAGATTTCTTTGGTCTATTTTTTTTCTTTCAAGATTCATTCTCTGTTGCTTTGTGTAGCAGTGTTGCTTTCATTTTATGTCTCTATATTATTGCACTAGGTTTATCCATGGATTGATTGATGTGTCTAGTTGTGGTGTTCATTATATTTTTATTGCTTGGTGTTTTCAGGAATTACTGAATCTTGACTTTAATTTTATACTTCTGGGGTTCTTTTGACCAGTCTTATTATTTCCAAATATTTATCCTTTATTTCTGAGGGTACTCTCTGTACTTCTTGATATGTACTAAACACTGCACTGGGCGTTTTCAACTTGTAGTGTGTGTCTTTTCCTGTACTTGTTATATTCTCTCATCACCACCCCCACCATTTTCTCCATGCTTCAGTCTGAGTATTATCTCTGACCTAGTTTCCATTTTGCTAATTCTCTTTCAGGCTGCATATAGCTTGCTATTTAACATACCTATTGAGTTCTTAATTTAGCTTATTATATTTTGGGGGTCTAGAGCTTTTATTTTTTAAAAAAATAATTTTACATACATTTTATATTTTTGCAGTTCTGTTGAGGGATAATTGAAGTATGATTAGATTAACAAACTCACATATTGTTCACAACAAATAAGCCTTCTTTTCACATAAACTATAGTTTCCTTGCTAGTAAATCACTATGCACTTCAACACTATTTTGACATTTCTGATAGGAAGGCTCACCCAGCCTTTCTCATGTTTTATGCCAGCCTGTTCAAAGCAGTAAATTTTACTCAATTTAAAATTTATCTTAAAATGAGTATAGATTACCATAAATAGAAAGCACAAACATTCCTCTCCTATAATCACTGTATTGATACAAATTTAGTATGTTTGTCATCAAAGCATTATTTTCTATGAAATAAAATTTACTGAAAAGATTGAAATACTTTATTACGTTAGAACAATTAAATTCAATTGACCTTTCTGTTAGGATGAAGAAAATTTTATATAACTGTATTATATAAATAAGCCAGCTTTTCTTTATTTTAATCAATAAATAGAAATACAGGTAGAGTTAATTTAAAAAAACTAAAACTAATAGCATTATAAAATAGCAAAAATAGCATTATAATAAAATGCTACAACTATGGGCAGGTTCCCGTATACAATTATATAATTATTAAATGTTCATTTAAAATATTTGACTATTGAGAAATTTGAATGTTGCTGATTTAACCAAGGGAGTTAGGTGTTTTTTTTTTTTAAGGGATTTAGCTTTTAAGTTTACATAATATTAAGTAACAAACTCATATAGTACATGTGCCTTATGGCTACCATATTAGATGGAATATAATAAAAAATCTTTAATAACTTATATCTCAAAATATTTTCTATTCAATTAATATCTATGGAGTGCCTGTTATAACTGTGTTAAGTATCAAAGTGTTACAGTGTAGACGCAAAGCCCCTAGGCTGATCCTGAGGTCTTAATTATCAATATATATAAACCAATGTTAAATAATTCTAAAAATCTGGTAATATTTCTCATTGCATCTAGAACATTAGACAAATTGGGAAG